CCCGCGCGCCGCCGGCGTCGGGCGACGCCACGCACCGAAAAGTCTATAGCCTGTCGCCCAAGACGGCCTACGAGGCCCCAAAGAGGCGCCCAAGGGGCGTCCTACGAGGGACTGGGCACCGCCAGTTCGGGCTGATTTGGGAAGCTGATGTTTTGCGTACGCTGCCACTTTTCTGGGCCCTAGGCTCCGCCTCGCACGGTTGGCCAGAACAGTGCACCCTTCCCCTCAGTACCCTGCCCACTGGCGGGGCACTGACCTCCCTGGGGGGCGGTGCCACATTGGTCCGATGTGCTGGGAAGTATGACGACATTCATGATAGGGGGGCGTCCTACGAGGAGGCCCCACGAGGCCAAAGCATAGAGTTTCCAAAGGGCAACGTACAATATTGTTAGCATGTACGACTTTTCGGCTTTCACGGCGTGGACGACGGCCCAAGAGGCTCCCAAGACCGCCCCACGACGGGCCAAGAGGCTCCCAACTGCCGCGCGCTGCCAGCGTCGGCGCTCGCCGTGCCGCGTGCGCGCGCGCGTGGCGAGTGCAACCATAGCCCCGAAAATGCTCCAACAGTTCTCAAACATAGTCGAACAAATCGTCTCCGGACGATTTCTGGATTATTTTGTGAGATTCCTTCTGTAGAAGGAAAGGGTGCGCGGAGGAGGAAACGGTACCAGTACTGCTACCCTTCCCGCGCGTGCGCCTCTGCGGGCCTCCCGGGCGGCCCCCGTGGCCACGCCGGGGTCCGCTTCGGGGGTGTCGGCCCTGACCTTCCAGAGAGCTATTTTTTAGCACTGGAAACCTAAAAACCTAAAAAACGAGACGAAACAGCCTAAAACCAAGACGTAAAATAGCTCTGGGATAGGTTTTTACGTCGGGTGCTATTTTTTAGCCCTCCTGGAAGGTCAGGGGGGCAGGACGCGTCCCAGGGGAGAGGCCGGGGGAGCGGCGGCAGCGGAGCTGTCCCGTGTCCTATTTGGGGGACTGCCTGCGCGAGAGGCACGCGCCGAGAGCTGGGGTGTCTTCGCGGCGGCTCGTTGGTTCTCGCGAGCTTGCCTTGTGGGCCAGGCGGCCCAAGATTTCCCCCCAGATCGTAAAGGCAAGGACTCCTGGGGCTGGGATGACTGGTCTTTTGGCGGCTGGGGCTACGATCCCTACGACGCTTGGTCGATGGCCATGATGAAGGGCATAATGAAAGGCAAGAGCAAGAGCAAGGGCAAGTGGTGAGCGCTGGCAGTTCTCTGGAAAAGCCTGGTTCACGAAAAAAAAAGATTTCCCCCCAGATCGCCTCACGACTGCCTAAATGAGGCTCCCAGAGGGCCTCCAAACGGCCCGAGAGTGGGCCTGGAGCAGAGGCGCGCGACTGCAGTCATCCAGGCTTTCGGAGTCGGGCCCCCAGAGCGCCAGGCAGCCGTTCTCGTGTTTTGGCCTGAGAGCAGCCGAGAGGCTTCGAAGACAGTAGCGCGCGGCCATAATGCGCCATAGCTATCTCGGTTCAGGGGCGGGCCTTCGGGTTCTCGCAGCACCAGGAGGCAGCAATGGCGGTCGCGGTTGCAACGAATGAGTTCGCATCTCCGTTCGAGAAGGTGCTCTTCTCGGATGAGATGGTCTTGAAGTACGAGCCGCTCGCGCTGTCGTGGGAGGCAGTCGTCGAGACCCAAGGTGAGGACGAGGTCTCCATGGAGGAGTACAAGACCCACTTGAAACTGTACAAGAGCTTCGACTGGTGCAGCACTTGGGACGGTAACAGGTATGACATTGTCTTTTACGGCGTGTCTGGATACACCGGGTACCTGATGATGGAATACCTGAAGCGCATTGCTCTGAAGTGCACCCCCGAGCCATTCACGTTCGCGTTCGCGGGCAGAACGGTGCGGAAAGTGGAGGACATGAAGGACCGCGAGTTTGCAGGAACGCAGTGGGCGAACACCCCGGTGTTGCAGATGTCGTACGACGACCCGAGGTCCATCGTTGATCTCGTGAAGAGTTCTCGCGTGATCATCAACGTGGCAGGGCCGTACATGGCCACCCAGGGAGAGCTCATGGTCGATATGTGCATTCAGCTCGGCGTGTCCTACATCGACATCAGCGGAGAGATCCCTTGGTCCTTGCGCGTCTTGGAGCTCCACAAGAAGGCTGTGGAGAATGGGGTCACCGTGGTCCCCAGCGCCGCGTCGGCGGGGGGCTTCCCAGACCTGGGAACGTTCATATGCGCCAAGAAGATGCGGGAGGAGTACGGCGAGGAGCTCAAGAGCGCGATCTGCTACTGCGATGGAGGTGGCGCAGCGCCGACAGCCTCCGGGGGCACACTCAAGACGCGGGCCACCATGGCCAGCGCGGGGGAAGAGGTGCGCGCCAAGATGGCGGACCCGTTCTCGCTCGGCGGCTTCATACCCGAGGTCGACAGGTGGGGCGTGAAGAAGTGCAGCATCGACTTCGGCACCGGCAAAGCGAAGCTGAAGGTGCGGTCCCAGGACATGGATGCGAACATCTCCAAGATCTCGGAGGACAAGCGGCTTGGCGTCTGGCGGGGGCCCCATGTGTACGCCTACTTCGACACGCGCATCGTCCGCAGGTCGAACATGCTGCTGGCGGATCTTGCAAACCGCCCCTACGGAGCAGCCTTCAACTTCATGCAGTACAGCCTGTTGCCGACAGAGGGCATCACGGCGATGAAGGGCGTGAAGAAGGTGAGCGTCGAGGAGGAGGAGAAGGCGCTCAAGGCGAAGGGCGCCTATTATGCTGAGGGCGAGGGCCCCCCCCTGGAGGAGCTGGAGGACGCCTGGGTCGGCTACTTCCTCTGGGCAGAGACGACGAACGGCCACGAGATCAAGTGCAGCATGGTCGGACGGGACGGCTACATGGAGACCGCCCGCGTCGCCATCGAGACCGCCATGTGCCTCCTGTTCGACAAGCTGCCCTTCAAGGGCGGCGTGCTGACTCCGACGGTCGCGTGCGGCGAGAACCTGCTGCGGAGGATGGTGGCCGGCAACCTCAAGTTCAGGCTGGGCGAGTGGCTCCCCGCGGAGGAGCGCTGCCCCCCGCCCTGGCCGCAGTGAGGGCCCACGCCTCCGCTCGCCCGCGGGGATAGGATCGGCGGCCACGGCGCGGAGTGAGGCTCCGACGCTGCCCGGCTGTTCCGATGTCGTGGGGGTTTCACTCCCGAGCAGCGGGAGGCGACACCGCTCCGAAGGGAGGTTCGCCGCCTCGTCCTCTGTCACGCAGTCGATGTGGGCAGCCCCCTGGGCCGATTCGGGTTCCGATTGCCGCCTCGACGCGGCGGCGCCGCCGGTGCGGGAAGTTGAGGGTTGGATGCCCTCCCGGAGCTCACGTCGGGCCCGAGGCCTTGAAGAGACAGCAGCCCACGGCGCGGAATCAGGGGAGACCGAGCCGCCAGCCTCCCTCTCGGGGGCCTCTGGGGCCGGAGGCTGTTCACGACGGAGCGGCCCACGCGGCGTCGCAGACCAGGGCCCTCGTGGTCAGGGCGGGCGTGCGCCGCAGCATCTGCCGAGCGCTGCCCCAGGCTGCCCTGGCTGGGATGCTGCGGCGGCGCGCGCGGACGTGGGCGGCGTGGCCGCGGGCCCTGCCGGGGCCCCCGGGGCCCGGGCCACGGCAGGCCTGGGCCTCCCGCACGGGGCCTTCCAGGAAGGGCCTCGCATCCCTTGTTGGGCCGGCATGCCAGCAGAGTCAAAGCGAGGCGGCCTCGCTCTGACTCTGCCTATGGTGCATGTTGCATATCTGTCATTGGTGATGCTGTTCCCCGCCTCTGCGAAGGCGCGGGGTGGGGGAGCCGTGCAGGTCAGAGGAGGACGGGGCACCGGTAATTACCGCTGTGCCTGCCTCGTTTTCGCTTTCTGGTGCCTCCTGGGAGGTTCACATCGCCACCGCTGGATTCGCTTCAAAATCCTGATCAGAGCGGACCCCGGGAGAGGTTCGGGGAGTCGCAGCATCGGTACATGTTGGCTCCCCCAGAAAAGGCTAAAGTCAGCGACAAGCGAGGGGGAGGAAACGAGGAGGAGGAGGCCTTCGCAGAGTGCGGCGGGGCCTATCAGAAGCCTTCGCGCCTCCTGAGAAGTTCTCGGTGTCTCCGAGGTTCGTCTTGGTCGTGGTGGGCGCGGTCTGAGATTAGGGGAGCAAAAAGTGACATAAACATACAAATTCGGAGGTCCGCGCGGATTTCTCGGATCGGCGCTGGACCCCCCTCCCTGGCGCGCGGAGCGCGCCAGGGGCGGCGCCGGAGGCGCCGCCAGGGGGGAGTCGGCGCGATCAGAAATCCAGCGCGGACCTCCGGAGTTTTTTACGTTTTAGCCACCTGTTGTTCCCTAGGTTACCCCAGGGCGTGGTCTGAGATGGTGCGCCACTGGGCTGAGGTAGGGAGGGGAGGGGGGAGGGGGGGGGGGGGCGGCACCGCAGCGCCCTCGGCGGGCCTCCCCGGGGTGCTGCGGGTGGAGCTCCGCCGAGGCTCTCGCGCGGCCCCTCGTGCGGGCTGCGAACCACGCCCTCTGCTCTAGGCTTATGCCGGGCGTGTCCCCCTACAGGGGGAGTTTCGACGAAAAACAAAAATACCCAAGAATGCTCCAAAAAGGCCAAACAATATTCAAAACATAGTTCCCAGACTATGTTTGGAGCATGTTTGGATTCTGTTTGGGGTATTTTCATTTTTCGTAGATAATCCCCCTGTAGGGGGACACGCCCGACTTAACTTTCGGCAGCAGGTCACGGGAGCCTGGTATGCCCTCATGGTTCCGCCTGCAGCGTGAAGTCGGGCGTGTCCCTCTGAAGGAGGAACCTTCAGAAATAGTAGACAAACAAGACGGGGACGATGTTTTGTCTACGTTTGACCATTTTGGAGTATGTGTTCGAGGTTGTTGTGTCGTCCAAAACCCTCCCGTAGGGGGGACACGCCCGACCTAACTTTAGCGTCGACTGGCTTCGATTAGCGTCTGGGCATCGATGAAACAGTGCCGATTCAGCGTCGGCTAGCGTCGATTAGCGTCGATTCAGCATCGATCAGCGTCGACCAGCGTCGAGCAGCGTCGATCCGCAGGAGCCGACAAGATGGCATGGGAGGCTTCCATGAGCTGCCACCAAACTTTGCAAACCACACCCTTCGGAGTCGCAGAATGGGCCGGCGCTTTTTTCTTCCACGCCATCACACTCATAAGAGCCGCCTCCCGGCGGGTGTGTCCCGCAGCGCGCGCGCGCGCGCGTGAGCGGTCAGCCCACCGCGTCGGCGCGCGCGCTGCGGGCAGCCCGCAGCGCAGGGAGGGAGAGAGAGAGAGGCAAAAAGGATGCGCCCACGGCCCGCGGCAATGACGACGACGGCGCTGACGGCGTCGGCGGCGTCTACGACGCCGATGTCGACGACGACGTGCACGACGACGCTGGCGACGACTCTGAGGACGACGACGACGCTGACGACGACGCAGATGACCCCATGACGATGACGACGACGACGACGACGACGACGACGACGACGACGACGACGACGGCGCTGACGACGTCGATGGCGCCCGCGACGACGACGTCGACGACGTTCACGACGCCGACGGCGGCCGCAACGACGACGTCGACGACGGTCACGACGACGACGTCCACGACGACGACGACGACGACGACGACGACGACGACGAAGGCGACGACGGATCCCCCCCCATCGGCGCGGGGCGCAGGCAGAGGGCGGGTCAAAAGTCGACGACCGGCGGCCCCCCGCCGTTTTTTTGCGTGCCCGCGTCCGGGGCCGGCGGGGTCGGGCCAGCCCGGACATGATCGCGTCGTGAAAAAAATCGGGACGGGAGGTTTCTTGCTACTTTCCTGCTACTTTCGGCCGCTGGGGGGCCCTCCCCGGGCCTCGGGGCCGTCAAAAACGACTCAGGATGAAAAACCGGCCCCGGGGAAAGGGTCGGGCCTTCCAGGGACGCCGTCCTGAAGAAATCAGGACGCCGCATGTCTGGGAGTGGATGTCGAGGACTCCTCGAGCACAGCGGTGGATCGATGACGCCTACGGCGAATCGCCGCCGCCCCCTGCCTTTTGAGAAGCGGCTGCGTGGCCGAAGGTTGGGTTTGAGCTTGGGCAAGCTATCGGGCCACGCGTTCCCAGAGTGGGTTTCGAAAGCCTTCGGGGAACACCGAGTCGGGCGAGCTATCGGACCAGGTGGTTTCCGAGCTTTCGGGCCTCCTGGAGGATGTCTTGGAGGGGTCTTGGGCCGTCTTGGAGGCCTCTTGCGCGCCTTTTGGGCAGTCGAATGCCATCTTCAGGCCATCTGGGGCCGTCTTGGGTGCATCTTGGGGCCGTCTTCGCTGTCTTGGGCCTCTTGGGGCCTTCTTGGGGCCGTCTTCGGAGCCTCTCGGGCTGTCATGGAGCCGTCTTGGAGGCCTCTTGGGCGTTCTTGGGTCGATGTTGGGGGCCGCTTGGGCCGTCTTGGAGAGCTGAAAAACGGCAAAAGCCGACATCCTTCAAACACCTAAGGAACATCAATAATTTTCACCCTGTCGGGCCTTCCTGGAGACGTCTTCGAGGGCTCTTGGGCCGTCGGAGGCCTCTTGCGGGTCTATAGGGCCGTTTTGGGCCATCTTGAGGCCAGATTCGGCCGTTTTTGGTGCCTCTTCGGGCCATCTTAGCCGTCTTGACGGCCATTTTGGGCGTCTTGGATGCATCTTGGAGGTCATCTCGGCCGCCTTGGAGGCTATCTTGGGCGTCTTGGGGGCCTCTTGGGCCGTCTTTGGGCCTTCTTGGGGCCGTCTTCGGGGCCTCTTGGGCTGTCATGGGGCCATCTTGGAGGCCTCTTGGGCGCTCTTGGGTCGATGTTGGGGGCCGCTTGGGCCGTCTTGGGCCGTCGGAGAGCTGAAAATCGGCAAAAGCCGACATCCTTCAAACACCTGAGGGATATCAATAATTTTCACCCTTTCGGGCCTTCCTGGAGGACGTCTTCGAGGGCTCTTGGGCCGTCTTGGGGGCCTCTTGCGGGCCTATAGGGCGGTCTTAGGCCATCTTGAGGCCATCTTGGGCCGTCTTGGGTGCATCTTGGGGCCATCTTGGCCGTCTCGGAGGCCATCTTGGGCGTCTTGGAGGCATCTTGGAGGCCATCTTGGCAGTCTTAGAGGCCCTCTTGGAGGCCCCTCTTGGGCCGTCTTGGGGAGGCCTCTCGGGCCGTCTTGGAGGCCTCTTGGAGGCCTCTGGGGCCGTCTTGGGCCGTCTTAGGTGTTTCTTGTGCGAACTTGGAGGCATCCTGGACTCTCTTGGGCCGTCTTCGATGCCATCTTGGACCATCTTGGGCGAACTTGCAGGCCATCTTGGAGGCCATCTTGGAGCCGCCTGGAGCCGAAACACCCTTTGCGACCGCCTGTTGCGCGCCCTTCTGGGTGGCCGGCGGGATCGGCCGAAGCCCCAGGGGAGTTTTTGGGAACACGCAATAAAACACCAACACCAAAAGTGAAAGGATGCAGCACGCTGGGCACCCCTGTGATGAATCAACAAAAGGCGGCGGATACATTGAGCGCCCTGCGGCCCATCCCGCCACCGTGTCTCGGTTCTGGGTATGAGGCCTAGTGGATGTTCGTTGGGATCTCGTGGGATGCACCTCGGGGGCGTCTCGGAGGCAGTTTGGAAGCTTCTTGGGGGCCGCTTGGGGAGCCTCTTTTGGACCTCCTTGGGGCCTCTTGGGGCCTCGTGGGGGCCTCGTGGGGGCCTCGTGGGGGCCTCTTGGGGCCTCCTGGGCGCCTCTTGGGGCCTCCTGGGGGCTTCTTGGGGCGGAAGGCTCGGATTTTCGGTTCGCGTTCCATGTGGGCCCATTTTGGGGCCGTCTTGGGGCCCTTTTGGGTCGTCTTTGGCGCCTCTTGGGCCGTATTGGGGCGCTCTTAGGCCGTCTTGGGGCCTTATTGGAGGCCTCTTGGGCCGTTTTGGGCTGATCTTGGGAGCCTCTAGGGCCGTCTTGGAGCGTCGGGAAGCCGAAAAGGCGAGAACTCAAACATCTTTACATCAATGATGTGTGCCTCTTGTGGCCCTCGTGGGAGGCCTCTAGGAAGCCTC